TTTTTATTTTTAGTAATTTTTTTTTTTTTTTTTTTTTTTTTTTTTTAATTTTTCACTTTGCATTTATTTTCAAATATTTTGTTTTATGTGTAATAGCTTGAGTATTGCATTCTTGAGTCTTGGTAGCGATATTAATATAAATTATTGGTCTATTTGTGTTTAATAATAATATTATATTACATATATATTTTATTATTTAGTTAAATTTGCTTATAGTTTTTATTTCCATATATTTTAATTTATTTATTTGACTTGTTTTATTTGTTATTTCCATTTAATATCTATGCATTTCTTTTTATTACTATTATTCGCCTATATATTTCTCTCAGTGCATTGCGATCGTTGGCTACATTGTGTTTTAAGTTTTCATTTTGTTTTTGCTTTAGCTTTTCAGCAAGGTGCTTGCCTTGCCACTCAATATTTTTCTATGTAGACGGACGACACACACCCACGCACCAACACGCACCTACACAGACACAGACATAGACAATACACCCTCTATTAGCCACCTGTCTGTCCGTCTGTTGCGGAACTCGCACTTTCAATGCCATTTTACCACCTCGCCACTTTCACTGCAAATCCAATTGGCAATTACGAGAATTGGCCAAGGGTGCGGATATCGGACAGCGGATAAAGAACTACACCCAAAACACGCACACCCAAACATACACACGCACACAGACAGCGAGACATTTGTGTAAACAGTGCGTCATCAAAGTTGTGTCTCCCTCTGTCTTTCATTCTTGCTCCGCCTCTTCCGCCCCTTCCGCCCCGTCCGCCTCCTGCTCATTGAACAGTGTGTCGAAAATGTCTCGCAATGACCTCACAGTGTGCGTCATCATTAATGAAACATTCGCAAGCAAACTGAAACATTTTAATCGAAATTAACAGCAACAACAACAACAACAATCACAGCAGCGACAACAACAACCACACAGAATTCAAATTGAAATTGAAAATTTGTTCTTCAGAATTCTTATATTCAGCAGCTGGAGATAGTTTCCTACGAATTGGTGGGCTATGCCCGGCCTAGATAAGCGCCGTAGTGTCTACACTGAGAGAAAACAAACATGCTGGAGTTGAGTTAACTTTAAGCAAATCAGATTAGAAATTGAGATATTTTAAGTATGTTTGCATTGACTAAACATAATCTGATTCTATACTCTGCATACTCACTGAGAAGGCATGTATATTGGTGTTGTTAAGTATAAATATATGTATATATTTATGTAAATATTCTTGATGAGTAAACACAGAGTAGACGATTACGTTTATTGCGCTTCATTTATCGATTACAATCGATATCATTGGAGATCGATAAACAACTTTTAAAGCAGCTTTGTAAGCCTAAGCAAACATTAAGTATATCAATTCTAATATAGTGTCTCTCCTATATTTACAAATGCGGAATTTAAAACAGCTTCGTATACCCCTTAGCCTATTACAGGTATCTTCAATCGCTCTCAGTTCTTGTTGAATTCTCCACCAGTTGCTCAATTGTTGCTCTCGGTGTGGGGCTGTTCATATATCAACAGGTGACAGTTTCGCATTATCTGCGACCTGAATCTGTATGTTTAGATAACACACACACACACACACACACACGCACACTCCTACATATACTTATATGCATGTAAATTTAATTGAAATTGAATTTTGAACCGTTTTGTTTTGTTTTGCAGATCTCATTAAAATTGGCTTGGCAAAGAAGGAATATCTGTAATACCCTAGATCTAGACTTACACACCCATTCACCATCACACACACACACACACAAACACATACACATTGAGAGAGCTGTAAAGAAGCAGCAGCTAAAATGCCCGTCTTTCACACAAAAACCATCGAGAGCATATTAGATCCTGTTGCACAGCAGGTAAGCGATAGTTAATGAAATGATCTATGTTAAATCGGGTTTATCCATAAGGAAATATTACTTAACCCTATTATATTGCCTAGCTATAACAAGCCAGCAAATTGGCGCCCAAGAAGGTAAATTTATGGAGAACTGAAAGTATTTTGATGAAAATGTATTAGTATATCATATTGGAATAGTCTATGAATATGTATATATGTAAAGCCCATAGATCATAGATCATAGATTATATATTATAGATTATAGGTAATAGATCATAGCTCATAGATCATAGTCATAGATAATAGATAATAGATAATAGATAATAGATAATAGATAATAGATAATAGAT